AGAATAAACTCTTGTTGAATAATCGTTTCCATTGGTTATCATGTAAAGAAAATACATTATTGACTAAACAAAAATTTAAATAGATTTATTAACTATTAAATTATTACTTATTTATTACGATCTATAGTTTACATACTAATTCACAATACCATGAAGAATATTTTATTCAATAATAATAAATCAATAACTTAATGGAAAACCCGACATGTTATTTTCCAATGTTGATTATTGTTTGAAAACATCCATGGATTAGTATTAAACTTTTCTTAGTCAAACTAATCTATCATTTAGCTGTTACTATTCATTTTTCTCAGTGTAATAGTAGAATAGTTTTCGGTTTTCTGTGTAAAACAAGATTTTTAAACTATACAATCTTGTTGTTTTCAAAAATTTTTATTTTTTTATTTTAACTCTCTAGTTAATAAATTATAATTTGTCTGTAAATGCTCCAACCCATCCTGCGTCCCTTGTCATCAGATTAATCCCCCAACATAGATAAATCAAATGCAATTTGATTCAAAACTTAAAAAATTTGACCCAATAACGTTTAATACACTTTTTTCTTTTAGATTTTTAAGATCTCCAGAAATGTAAAAAACGTTATACAGGGCGATTCATATAAGATAATAAGCCTGAATATCTGACGATGATGCAACCTAAAAAATTTCATTCATATTTGGTAGTTGAAAAGCAAATTTAACTTATTATTATACAAAAAAAATGTTCTGCGTTAAATGGTTATTGAGCAAATTGTTCATAAAATCGATATTTTACATACCAAGTGAATAAAAAGTATGGAACTAAACGTTTTTTTGATAAAGTACTATAAAAATGTTATGTACTATTACAAATAGAAATTTTTCTACAAAAACAACCCAATAAAATCATCAATGACCTATGGATTACAACTATGTACTTTAGTTGATAGTTTGAGAAGGAGAAATAGAAAGAATAAACATTTGAAGCATTTTAGAATTTCAATTTAGTGTTTTAGTTGGTATAGAATTCGAAATTAAGCGAACATTAACCGTACTATGACCACAAAACAGCATAGAGACGGCCAATGGTAGCTAAATAACGAAAACATTGTAAAAATTCTGTAAAAACAAAACACAAAAAATGATGAATTTAAATTTGTTATTAAATAGGCATGGGTCGTACTATGAACCAAAATAACACACAGTACCACTCTATGCCCACTCAGTACCAAATTTACCAACACTGATGATTTTAAATTCATTATTTAGCCGGCATGAAACGTACTATGAATCCCATAATCCATCCAAAGTACCACTTCATGCCCACTCAACACTGAATTTTTTTGAATTTAATTTTTTTTTTATATAATATTATAATATAAAGCAAAAAGTGGATTGTTTTCTACTACCAACAAGCAAGCAGCCTGCATGTGATGACATCAACTTCACACAAACATGCAGGAATTTGCTTGGTGACAATAAAAATAATCTATGTTCCTCGTGTTGATTTTCAAACTCGACCCTTAGGAGACATCAGCAGTATTATGAAACTAATAACATAAACACCACTCATGTCTACTAAGAGTCAAATTTGTTAAATTTTGAAGATTTGGAGAGTTTTTGAGCCGACATGGACCGTACTATGGGGGAAATCAGCACAGAAACGGCTCATGTCTGCTCAAAAACAGTGGTACCAACTTTGATTTTGATTGAATGAGAAGGCAAGCCTGTGACTCTTCATTTTTGAAGATGAAATGAAGAAAATCGCAGACTTCGCTTCCAATTCAACTATTTTCTTGAAGATTGAAGAAATTACTGTAGGACTCACTTTGCCCAGTGATAATAAAATAAATATCAACCAAGGCAAAGATAAGTCTAACAGAAATTTCAAAAATTTTTTTTGGGAAAAAATTGTCGAATTTTGATTTGTTTTTGAGGCGCCATGAACCGTACTATGATTCAAAATTGACATAAATACGACTCATGTTTCCATAAAAACAAATCGAGTACATAAAAATTGGTTTTTCGTTTCTCGGCCTCCTTGATCAACTCATGCTTGCAAATTCGACATGAGAATAATCAAGATTGCCCAAAAACAAAAGCAATGGTATTTTTTTTTGCTTACCAGTGTCGGGGTTGTTGTCACACTGATGCTTTCAGGCCAAAATTTTGCGCTTATATTGACCAACCCCCCGCTGATAAGGGAGAGTGGGGTTGGGGTGAAAGTTATTTTGCTGCTTTTTCACACAAATTTTTACCAAAAATTAATAATTTTTCTGTTATTTTAGTGGTTTTTTTGGATAATGTGAGTCTAGAAATGATGTGCAATTTTTAAATTAAGAAAACTAAAATATTTTTCGAAATTACGTTACTTTACATCAAGTAGAAAGCATTGTTTTTATCGTTTTATTTATTATTTTTTTTAATAATACACCTAATAATTTTTTTTTGGAAAAAGTTTTTTATTATTGTTGTA